TTTGATCTTCTCAACTTTCCGCCGCTCGGCATTCCACTTTCGACTGCTGATACATACTACTTTTATCTGTCGCCATCAGTAGCACACCACACCATGAAAGTTTGGTTTACACAATTATTTAACATTTCATGATTAATTCAACTACTCAAGTAATAGTAATGATAAATAAATATAAATATACGTTGTCCATACATGTACAAGTCTGTCCATATATTTATAAATTACCTTAGTTGAAATGTAATTGCGAAATTGAAAATAAGATTTACATTAATTTGAAAAGAAAAACAACTGCTTTCTTAATTTAAAAAGAAGTAATTAATTACATTTGGCCAATATAGTGTTTATTATCATTCGATCTCAATTGAAATATGGAGTTAATTTATTTCTACCTACCACAAATATAATTCACTCCACAACACTGATAGAAATATTATGGATTTATTTATTGGAGTGAATATATATATTACACACGTTAGAGCAAAGTAACTAACCAATCATGAATGGTATAAGCGTACTTTAAATAAACTAAACAAAACAATATTGAACCTCAAAAAAAATTATATCAATTCTATTATCACAAGAAGTTTTATGGAGATTTTTAAAAATTTCAATAATTGAAATCATGAGTCAATTGAAGCTAGATCACCACAGAAAACCTGGAAGCACTGGACGACCGTTTCGTCCTAGCACGGGAGTCTTCAGCAGTGCGCACCCACTATCCTGCCCCCCGCGAGATTCGAACCTCGGGGTTATTCGTCTCAGGCGCGAGCGCTTAACCATTAGACCACTGGACCCACATCCGACGGATGCGCACTGCTGAGGAGTCCCATACTAGGACGAAACGGCCGTCCAGTGCTTCCAGGTGTTTCATGGTGGTCTAACTTTAATTGACTCATGATTTCAACTATTAAACTTCTATTATCAATTTTTTGATAATTCTGATTTTGATTAATACCCTGAAGAGGACTAGAAAGGTTTGCTGGACGAAACGTTGGAATTGATTCGATTTCAATCATTGAGATTATTTCAAATATAATTTTACACAAATAGTATATCAATTCTAATTCTTAACAATTATCTTATATGACGGAAACGAGATAATGAAGTTATAAAGAAAAGCAATAAATATAATTATAAACTATTCAACTTTCAGAAATACAAAAAATTAACTATTACTTAGTACTGATACACGTTCCCACAAATTAAACGATCTCGAATAGAAAGACTATAGTAAAATGTAAGTAAGATTTATGGGTTAATCTTTTGCTTCATTGCTCTAGGGTCATTTTCAATCGATTAGAAGTTTGGGCAAAATATAATGTCAAGCCAAACTGTAAATGGATGTGTTTAATGTATCATTAAAGCATATCACTATGTATTCGGACACACCCATTTAGTTATTTCACTATGCTAGAGTTGATGTCATTAGGGGTAGTTACTATCTTTTATTTCAATTTCGAATGTCTTGCTGAGAAATAAAAAAATACTCAACTATTGAAATGGATACTTATCACGACACTGAATAATGATAAAATTATATTGCAAAACAGAATGTATTACGGAAATTTCGATGATAAGATTCTGATTTAATAACTGATTGGTATTATATTGTGAGAATTCACAAAAATCTTATTCGAGATTATATGTGCGCTTTTAAGTTGTAAAATAGGACTAAAGATGTGAAGCTTCAAATATTTCATTATTTGATGACATCAGAGTATGTTGGCTATTATCTCTTAAAATCGACATGAACTGAACAAAAAATATCTTAATAACTTACACTGTTTAAAAACAATGCTGTAATTCTCCGAGTTCATTGTCCCCAAATGGCCACGTGCATACAACCACTGCCACGAGTGTCCTACTCACTATCTTCTCTCGGCAGGAGTGTTGCTGAGGATGAAAAGCCAATGCCCGGTGCTTTAACCGGGTTGATGGATATGAAGGATCCACCTAAGATAGTTGGAAAATTCAGATTCCAAACCAATAGTACACATTGGCTGCAGAATACTGAGGAAACAAATGGTGTATGAACCTATTGTTAGTCACTGGCTACCATGGGACTGCATCTCCTGACGTTGCTCCACTGTCTTGTGGACTAGACCTGTAGGTGAATGGTTTGAGGTGTGGCTCCCTAAGAAACCTATCTGGTTTTGTTTTGGTGCCCGGTCAGTATTCTAGCCCTCACACAATCAGATGATTTATGTGGCGCATATCTATTTGGTGCCTCCTTGTACCAATGTTTGTGTTTAAATAAATAAAAATGACTTTCAAATCATAATTAATAATACATGTCTTTAAATCAACAAACAGTGATTTCTTTACCTACATTTATTTAATTTATAGTAGAAGCGAATGATAATTAACGCTGTATATGTACATATACGACTCGATAATTTAAATTTTTATTAACATCCATTCACTCATAACAATGTCAAGTACAATAAGTACTTAAGAAAAAAAGACCATTGCTGTAATCACTCGTATTGGAAAAAGGGTTTTCTTTTCTTTTCTTTAAAAATCTAAGCTCATCATAGAAAATTATTTTGATATAAAAACACTGTTTATTTCATTTTAAGTGTTAAAATGATGACTATTAAAAACCTTCGAACGAAGAAGCACTAGATGGAGAATGTTTAATCCGAAAGAACTTGAAGAAAGTTGCTTCCATCTTTGTCTAATTACATTTCAAAAATAGAGATCTTTTTAAAGTGTACGACGATATTTATCAAAGGTATTGCTCATAACTAGCTAGCTTATCAAACTACAATATTTATTTAAACGTACAAACACAGGAGGACCACCCACGCAACAATTCTGACCATATAGCTATCATGTGTTGGATTAAACAAACTAGCATGAGTCATAGCTTTTGTAACTCAGCTGCAATAAACTGGTCACGTGATGTATGACAGAGCAACACGGAGATAAACTTGCTAGGACATAAACGGTCTGAGAGATGGACTTGACCTTGGAAGACTAATGCTATTGGCAGACTCACAACTTGTAGTCTCAGAAATACGTGTCTAGTATCTAAGTTATTGATGCGTTATGTTACTAACCTCATTGTGTGATATTAGTGTAATTTATTATTCACGACTGTACCCCTCTTAACATACGGATTTATTTGGCGACGCCTTTATTTGTCTTCTAAACATTCGATATGCGATAAGCGGTTATGTATCAACTGGATTGCTTACCAATGAGTATTTATTTTTAGAAAACTTGGCAAATCTTTACGCAATACAAAATATTGAAAATGATAGGAATTCCCATCTGTCATGTAATACAGCTTACGACATTTTCTACATTGTGGAAAACCGTAGGTATACAGTGAGTTTTGTGGATTCCCAACTTAAATAATCTAGGTATTAAATATTCACACACAGCGTTAAAGAATGCAAAGCCGTATCCTAGATGACAGAACTGAACTAAGAGATAAGAATGGCGAGTAATCAAGCTAGTAAACTATATGTTTATAAAGTCTTACTTTTTCCACTTGGTAAAGCTCATTACTGTCTATTTCAAGGATTAACCTTACAATAAAATTACTAAAAGCCTTTCTCGTCAATGTATATATATAACAGAAATACATGGTAACAACGAACAAAACAAACACTAAAAACGCACTAGACGACTGTTTCCCTTAGTATATGACTTATCAGTAGTACACACCCAAGACGTCATCACTGATAGAACATGTGATTCAGCAACCTCCACAATGCCCAATAATAATAACAATAAACATGTTTAGCTTAGATGATAATGATAAGAATAGGGTAGCCTTATTAGTTCATACACACTATTCCAATTTCAAATTCAGTCACTCCATTTATTAGCCTTAGATTGAGCAGCTTGAACAATCCAATTGTACAAAATTGACCGTTAACGGTTTGACATTCAGCCACTACCATATAATCCAATCAAATCGAAAACAATTATCGAGAAGTATGTTACTAGCGCTTGTGGTATAACAGTACTCATTAGAAAAAGATTTCTGCAGACACCTTTTAGCTCATTAAAACTACTTTATATATTTATGTACATAAACCAAATAATTGAGCCTACATGAAGGTTTACAGGTGATGGGAAAAGAGAGCAAGTTCACTCACGTCACTCACAGTTATCTAGTAGACACCAACTTTTACGCAATTTAGCTTACCATATAATAAATTTAGAATTAATTTTCTTATCTTAGTTTGACTTCTCTGGGGATTTTATCAAATTAATACCAAACTAACTACCAAGTACTTATAATAGGAATTTATGCCCAAACTTATCCTTTGTGTTTGGACATTGGAATCAGTTGAGGAGTTTGTTCGTGAAGATAGTTTCGAGTGCTGATGACAGTGTAACAGTCGAAGTAAATCCATAAATACGGGAGCAAATGGTTTTCTTAGGTAGCCACCCCCCGAACCATTCACCCACAGGTCTAATCCACAAGATAGTGGAGCAACGTCAGGAGATGCAGTCCCATGGTAGCCAGTGACTAACAATAGGTTCATACACCATTTGTTTCCTCAGTATTCTACAGCCAATGTGTACCATTGGTTTTGAATATGAATTTTACAACTATCTTAGGTGGATTCTTCATATCGATCAACCCGGTTAAAGCGCCAGACACTCCCTTTTCGTCGTCTCAATTTCGTAAACAACACTCACGCCGCGAGAAGGCAGTGAGTATAACATCCCTGAAAGTGCCAGTATACTCGTGGCCATCTGAGAGCTGACTCTCCCAACTCTCGGCCGTACCAGAGCATTTGGGGGCAGCTGAGAAAGTTTCTCAGACTCCATACTTCCATTATAGTTGTTTTTGAAAGATTGCTTCCATCCGATGTCCGAGATTCTAAGATCAAGGATTCAAACTTATATGTTGTAGAGTTTTAAAATGAGAACGAATAGCAATTCATTTATACCCTCTTAGTTTATAATGGTTACTGTCGAATCATCATGTGAAATATAGTTAAGTTTTTCGTTACTGAAAAAACAGTTTAACATACCAGTCAGTTGTTGACATATTTGCAAAATTATTTCACCGCATGCATCTATCATATGTGGATTAGAACGGTTCTAAAAGATATGTAGTAAATATAAAACTGAATTCAGTTTTTACGTACAAAGAAAAACATTTAGTATAGATATAGGAAGTTAAGAACATAATTGATAAGAATATGACAAGTTAACAGGCAATAAACAATAAAATAACTGTATGCTTGGCTTCAGTCTTAGTACTTAGATTTGAATCGCAATGCAATACAATGATATTAGTGCAGTTACATTCGATGATTTATACTGTAGGAGTAAACACATATGGGAATTCGAATTGGTAGAAAATAGATCCAAGCTTCGATGTAAACTTTAACACTGAGATATGAGTATATTCAGCTAGTAATGTAGCGTATGCTACTTGTGCTGACAGATGTAAGTAGTATGTATGCCTGCTGAAGACTGAACTGAAGAGAACAACAAGCAAAATGAAGAGTAATTGTATTAACAAGATCGGAAGAATTATGAAGCAGGTATAGGAAAACTGAAGGAAGATGTGTAAATAATTTATTTAATGTATGGTTTTCATATTTTATGAAGGCACTCTGCAATTTTGTATAAACTGCTACTGTTAAAATGCTATTTTTCTGTCTACACGAATGAGATGTTAATTTACCTTGGACGAATATCTACACTAGATACCCTTCCAGTGTTTATTCTACAGGACGTCGACACAACTCAGACCAAGAACACGTGACTAGTCCGACTAGAACGTAAGTATATTTCCACATCAAAAACGGACAACAATAACAATAGTAATAAGGGTAGGAAAATACATGACTCATTTAATGCCTGTCAGACCATCCTACTAGTCTGAATAAACAAACAACGAATCATTATTTCCCTCTCCCACACATCAGATACACCTAAGTTCCCGTTCATTACAAAATGTATCCTGACAAGGCAAACACACGCATCCTGCGTTTTAATGCTAGCCATTGTTCAGAATCTAATTAACTTTTAGTATGAAACGAATTCCAGAGTACATGAACAGTATAATGGTAAATACGGTTGATGTTCTTAGTAAATATTCCAATGTACACTTTTATATCAATTTCGAAAGAACAAGAAGAGAATGATTATACATTTTTTTAGATATACATAAGCTGATACACCATATACTTAAACTCCTGATAATAATTTCCTAGCTGTTTCCTAAATCTTCGGAATTCTCATACACTTGAACCCGGAACAGCAGAGAAAAAAGCATAAATTATGGACAGAATATTTGCTTTTAAGATCGGCTCATGTAAAAACGACAAAATTATTGATAGGTTTGTAGATAACTCCAATATTCCAGGAACTTCTCAAAGGATATTAAATTTTGCAACAAAATATGATGAAATCGATATCTAAAAGCACAACTTACAGGCAAAATATTGATATGAAATCGGATGGCTACACATATCCACCGTATGTGAATAACTAAATAATACTACTTGTTCTGTTAATGAGTTAACGTACATCGTAATTTAGGATATTGGTCAGCAGTGAAATGAAGTACGTGCTTTTGTATTCAACATTATCTGTTGGTGATGCGACTGAGTGAAGAATAAAATGAGTAGTTTACAATATAATAGTTCAGTGGAATATAAGTTCGCTACTACTCGCTGTATGAGATCGCATAATACCAGTAATAGTTCAGAGTAGGTACTTTCAGTGATGATCGCTCAATATTATCCGCCTGTTTCCTTTATGAACAGTAAGATCTACCTTTTAATCGGATGAAATCTAACTTAGTCACAGCGTTTACTTGAATTTCATCCCTGTTCTGTTTTTCTATGATTTTATTTCACGCTTATTCAGAAATATTGCCACTTTACTTTTTACGGCTTATACATTGGTAATACTCAGTGTTATGTTATACATAAATAAGGTAGTAGGTACAAATAATTTCTAAGACTAATGAATGAATAAATTTAAGTAAACGTAAACAAATTCATTTACAAAAATAAACTGCATACACCGTATACAGTATAATGATACCGTCCAGTTATTTCAATAAAGGTAGATGTTCTAAAACATGGTTTTTTATTTGCATTTTGAATACAAAGATTCTTAGGTTTGATTCATACAATTTCAAGGGATCATGCCTTACGCTTATCCAAAAATGCTACCGATATAAAAGAGATGAATGTCTTTAAACTTAAAGGGTTTATAATTTCTCATGACTGATGATCGGGACTGGATTTTGATCAGTTTGTATTGCCACATGTGCATCCTGACAAGAATGCCTCTAATATAGCCCTTTTGCCACAAGTTTTAGGATAATTAGGTTGTAACTGATTAATTGTAGTCCTGAATATAAAAACAAAGAATACCTTAATACTGGTTTTACAAGTAAGTAACTATCTGGATTCAGTATCTCAATGGAAAACACGTTGATGTCTAAAGAAATCACTGCTAGATTCGAGTCTCATTATGAACACTGATAGGATCTCCTGATGAGTTACAAATAAAACGAAACTTGCGCCTTAGATTCTACATTCATTTGAAGGAGCTTAATATCGTCGTTTCCTAAGATAATTCTATATAACATCTTATAAACTAAGCATTTGTTTAATAACTGTCAATTTTTTACAGACATTCATCTTCATGGCTAGACAATAATGGTCTTTTCTTTTATATAAATCTACATTTATTTTCGATAAACGACACAGGATGTCTGAAGGTCATGTTTACTTGGAAAGAAAATGAATAATCAATGACACAATAGACAAAAAGTCATATTATTATTAAATATGGATTAAATACTTTTGGATAGCTAAAAAACGAAAATGACTTGTAAAACGAAATCCGGAACTATGAAGTCAGTTGGAATGAAACTATAACAAGTATAATTTGTCGAAGATCAAGAGAATCCGAAATATTCCGGTTCTTTCGTAAAGAAACCACATTTTTGTATTTGTTTATCATTTAATGCCAACAGTAAATTAAGGTAAGAAAATAGCTACAAAGAGATAGATAATCTTTGCAATAGTCTGTTTATCAGTCAATTACCATTAAAGAGAATTGGTACGAATATGTATTTTTCCGAGATGTCATACACATCGCACTAACATAATGAAAGAGAGAGAAACAATTAACCAGACTGGCAGCGAATGGAGAGAAAGTTAATTTCAACTGTAATGAAAATCTAAACATAAAAAATACACGGAAAGTGGTTAGAAGTGTGACTCAGAACATATATTTAGTCCTATCTCGGACTCGTCAACTGGATGTACTTGTATCCTGGTATTGACGTTCATACAGGGACTCGAACCGAGTAACCTTCACTTCAAACGCTCAATACGTTATTTATTGAGTTACTGGAGTGTAAGTAAACCCAAATGATGAGCTACAAACAATATGAAACGCATGTATTAAGCTTTAGGTCAGTAATATGACAGTTTCCTTTCGCTCTGCCTTTATGGACGTTCAATCACTAATCGAACTCAAAAGATACAAGTCTCAAAGTTGTACTAAATAAGCGTCAAGGGCGAAAACTAAATTGAAACAACTTTCCCACTCCCTGCATATTACGCACAGACTAATGGTTAGACAGATTAAAGACGTAACAAATGCATAGTTATTACAGCGACCGTTATTTTCAAAGGAAAACAAGGTTCATTGTAAATCCAGTTGTAACTCAGTCCTCTTAAAGTAGAAAACCAATCATAAGTGAAATACTTATTGTTAGATATCAATTGAATTTGAAACAAAAAACTGATGATTCATTGAACCACTGACCAACTAGAAATAAATGGCAATGTAATATCATGTTAATTACATTCAGCACTATCCAAACACTGAAATCCTTACACCAACCTTAGTAAACGCACATCGTAAAGATTAATTAGTTATTTATGAGTATATAAAAATTGTAGACGACTGATTTGAACGAAAACACTAATAATTTATTACAAATATAACTCGTTTAGCACTCACGTGTTCATGTACTTAAATTACGTCAAATGGAATTGGGTTCGAATTAATAACCTATTGGCTGACAAACAACTAATTTAACCATACATGAACTAAAGATGTTTCTACACTGTGTTATCATTGGTTCTTTTAAGTCAAGATAATGGATTAAGAATGGCGGTTTTTAATTCCCTTATCCAACAGATCAAACAAATATATGAAAATTATTTCAAAAGCTGAGTAAATAAAAATATGACAAGGAATATTTATGGGGGTAGTTGAGCAGGTAAACGACAAACAAACAAATGAAGAACACCTAAACATTTGATTGATATAAGAAAATTATAGTAATTTATCATATACTACTTACTACTAACATAGATATGATAATATACATTTTGTATTTTGTTTTAATTTTTATTCCATTATCATATTTTACTTCCTAATTTGCATAATTAACTGACCTTGAAGGACATTTAAGACCAGTAAACAGAAAATGACCTATGGTAGTGTAAATACAAATTAGTCCGTTAATTTATTCGACAGGTAAATTTTTCTAATTTTTTTGCTCTTCAAATACTCATATTCATTGATTATATATATATATATTAAATTATCAAAATTGATAGAAATGAAGGATAAATAAAAGTCATAAATTTAGAGCATAACACATTGTTTAGCTGCTTATTTCACCAATGGAATCAACTATTTAAGATGTTCCACATCGATCTAATTTTATTTCACTAAATGTATGAAATAAATCCTATTTTTTTATAAACCATAAAAACTAAAATCATTGCTTGGAGTAAGTTGAATAGAAGAGAGAGAGGAATAAACGCGTTTTATTTATTTATTATTTATTTATCTGAACACATAAATATTGGTACAAGAGCGCGCCAAGTATATATATGCGCCACACAAAACAATGAAAATTTGAAGAGAAGGAAAAATAAAAAATGGTAAGGAAGGTAAAAAAAGAACAATAACGAAAAGACTGGTGTAAGGTAGTGTAATAATAATAGTGGTAATAATAGGGGAACGGAAAGGTACAATCAGAAGAAATCTTTCAGTTAAGGAAGATACAAGCACTTTTTTAAATGAAAAAAGTAAAAGAAGGTTAC